AATACTATATATATATATATATATATATATATATATATATAGTATTTATTATTAAAATAATAAATACTATATATGTGTTTTTTTTTTATATTATATATATATATATAATTAACTTAGTACGCTTTAAATAATAAATACTAGATTTTATATATATATATATATAATTAAAACTATAAAACCTGAATAGGTGGATTATTTTAAAGGTAAAAATAAATATTAGATTTTAAAAACTTTTTTTATTGTTATGGAAAATACGGTAGCTCAAATGTATTAATTTTCTGACAAAAATAGAAATCCTGATGTTGAAATTTTATTTTTTATTGCTTTCTTAAATGTCACAATCTCTTCTTATTTTGCAGCTTCCTTTCTCTCCTCCTCCTTGTCCATCCCTTTCTCCTCCATCCCTCCTCCAGCTGGCTGATGTGATGCTGGGCCTGCTCAGCAGGAGGCAGCAGAGTTCTGGACCCTCAGAGTTCTGGACCTGTTCAGATCTTGTTCCAGTTGAAGAACTCACATCACATTCAAAAACAAACTACTCTGCAGTGTATTTATACTCGGTACATAAATGTACTTACTGTTTATACCTTCTTTACCACCTTGTTTTATACAAATTTTTACTGCAGGTCTTCTCAAATTAATATTTCCACGACAAATCGATGCCTCATGAGAAGAAAAACTTTTATTGAGATTATTTAGTTTATTTTTCACCCATTCCTCATGTTGTAAATATTCATGATAATTAATTGTTACCATGTACTTTGTACTAAAACACAAATAAAGAGGCTTAAGAAAATCTAAATATAAGTTTTTGGATAAAATATCTTTTTTCTTTTTTGTGATTTTAATTAATATCTAATTACTGTATCTCAAAAGTGTCATAAATATATACTGTATTCTATTGTGTCAGGAGAAAATCTAAATATATTTAAGAGTTAGAAAACTAACAAAGTTTAAGGCGCTGGTTTCTGTCCAAATTACCAAAATATGTAAATATTTGATCTTTGAAGACAAACATGATCCTAAATTATATATTTAATTTCTTTAAAAAACAACAACATGCTGATACTTATGCGTTTAAATTGGAAACTTTAAAAAAATCTTAAGTTTAAAGAAAAACTGATTAAAACCTTTTTATAAAGAACATCTTTGAGAGAAACTAAAGAGATGTGATGAAAACTTTTGCACAGTGACGTTAACAAGTTGAGAGAGGTTGATAAAACAAGTTGTTGTTGTTTTCATCTTTACTGAAAGTTAATAAAACAAGTCATTAATATTATTAAATGAAATAAAGAAGTGGTTTGGGGAAAGGTGCGAGCTGCTCTCTGATTGGCTGCTCCTCACTTCCTCCTGAGGAAACAACTCCTTTTATGGATCGCGGAGCTGCGCGCGCCCGGTTTCCGGGTTTGTCCGCGCGGCATGCAGAGGAGGAGACCCCAGGAGCTCCGCGGGGGAACACGGTACCGATCACTGATCCGCGCAGGTGAGAGGGTGAGGGAGGTGGGTTCGGATCTGGACCGAACCGGGTCTGAGGTCTTAGGGTGGGTCCTGGCTCTGAGCAGACATGACAGGTCTTGCAGACCTGCTGCTGGAAAAAAAAAAAAGTGTCGCCCGAAGTTCGGATCGAGTTCTGATCCGGCTCGAAGCAGCGTCGGGAGGCTCGGTTCTGCTCTCCGACCAGAACCAGGCGGTTCGGCTGATTGTACCCGGAACCACCAGAGAAAGTCGTTTCCGTTTCACTGAGCTGCAGAAACGGAACCAAAAAGATCCGATGAGTTAACCTGCTGGTCCTGAAGTTCTGTCAGGGCCGGTACCAGGGCTCTGGGTTCAGGGGCCCAGGCCCCCCTCATCACTCTGATGATGTCATCTGATCATGAAACCTGACAGATTCTGTAAGTCCTGCAGAACCTGAGCCATAATTTACCATCGGAATTAACGAGGGGACCGTTCCTGCAGAACATGTTCTGATCCAGTTTGATTTCTGGATCAACTGGATCAGAACATGTTCTGATCCAGTTTGATTTCTGGATCAACTGGATCCCCCTCCTCGTTAATTCAAAATAATAAACGCTCAGCAGTAAAATGAGCCTACAACAAGATGGCTGCACTGGTCGCCAGTAAATTACAGATTTTACAGTAATTTATCCTTTAATTTGTTTCATTTTCTGTTAATGAAGCGTTTCATTCCTCGTTGGCTCGTTCACCGTTTCATTTGAATCTGAATGATCGTTTGAATCCAGCATCTCTGTAATCTTGAGTGTGGGTTTTGAAGTGCTTCCTATTTGAAGACAATAAATGTTCTTCCGGACCTGATGCTGCGTACGGTGGCTCTGAAGGGTCAAACAACCGTTAAAACACATTTGAAGGAACCTCTTCTCGAAGGCATTCATTCATTCATTCATTCAAGCTTTATTTCTTCAGGTTAGTCTCATTGAGCCTCGAGGACTCTTTTAAACAGAGACCTGATCCAGACAGAACAGATAAAGTTCAGACAACAACAACAGTAAACAATGACAACAATGAACTAAAGTAAAGATGCAGTTAAAACAAGAGTAGTGTAGAAAACAAGAAAACAGGGTGAAATATTAAAAACAACATATTTGCTTTGATGTTTCTATTCACATCATCAAATGTTTGGAACCCCTTAAAGAAATCAAGGAGGACAACTTCAGTTCCTGTTGCAAGATGTTCCAGGTGCAGGAGATGTAAGAAGGCAGCAGACCAGGAAGTGATTTAAAGATGAAGATGAACCAGTGTGAGAGCCCACGTGTAGATAATGAAGACCAACTGACCAGTGAGAACTGGGTGCAGTGGTGGGTACGGTAGTTACAACCAGTTATGAATCTTAGCGCACCATGGAAGACAGCATCCAACATCTGCAGCATCCAACATCTGCAAGCAGCTGGCATCATTCATGTAAATGACGTCACCGTGGTCAATGGTCAGTAGGAAGGTAGAGGTTACAAGGTGTTTTCTGGCATTCAGAGTTAAACGAGATCTATTTCTGAAAAACAAACCCAGTTTTAATTTCAGTTTCTTTATCAAGTTTTCGACATGTGGTTTAAAAGAGACGTGCATCGACCAAAGTTCCCAAGTTTTTGTAAGAATCAACAAACTCGATAGGAACACCATGCATGGATGAGAGGAGGAAGAGTTGCTGGCATGACTTTCTGTTGGAAAACAACATCCTTTAGTTTTGTCAGCGTTTAGCACCAGTTTGAGGTGGAACAAGTCAGACTGGGTGGTGTCAGATGCAGACTGTAGAAACTGGAAAACCTTGGCAACTGTGTTAGCTCAGCAATAAACAACTGTATCGTCGGCATAGAGATGCAGGATGCGTCAGGAATGTTTTGATCTACATTAGCTGTATAAATTGTAAAAAGAGTGGGGCCTAAAACTGAGCCTTGTGGCACACCATTATTAACCTTTAGGTAGCTAGATGAAGTACTGTTATGTCGAACACATTGCCTCCGACCTGAGAGATAGTTTGAGAACCAGCCAACAGTGTGATCTGAGAAGCCACTATCTGAGATCTTGTGTCAGAAGATGTGATGATCTACAGGATCAAAGGTTTGGACCGGTCTAAGTAAAGAGCAGCTCCTTGGTGTCCAAAGTTTCAACAACATCATTAAAAACCTTTAGCGAAGCGATCGTTGTGCTGTGTTGTTTCCTGAAGCCAGACTGGAGAGAAGATAAAATATTCAGAGTTCAAATACTTCTTGACTTGAGTATTTATCAGTTTTTATCAAATCTGAGCTAAAATACAGAGTTTGGAGATGAGTGGATCATTGTTCAGGGTCTCCTTCCTTCAGTAATGGCAGCACAACAGCTGTTTTCCAAACATCTGGGACAGTATTCTGTTACAACAGATTGAAAATGTAAGACAGTGGTTCTGCTATAATTTGTGCAGCTAGACTGAAGAAGTCAGGAGGAGGTCATCGGGGCTGCAGGTTTTCTAGTGTCCAGATCTCTGAAGAGTTGGTAACCTGACCGACAGAACGGTGAAAACAGAACGTACGGGTTACTGAGGTGTGACTTGTTGCTGGAGGTGATGTACTTTTAGAAGATGTATCAAACCAGGAACTGGAGGCAACAGTGTTTGTTGAAACATCTCATTCTTCTCTGACACAGGAGCAGAGTCGACAAATAATGGTGGTGGTCTGTTCACAGGTTATGAACAGTTAATATCTTACCTGCTGCAGACAGGTCGAAGTTTATTTGACTGGACTGATGAGCTAACAGCTAGTTAGCCCCTCAGTCAAACACCCCCCCCCCCCCCCCCCAAGAATGTCTCGATGCAACTCGGACTTTGAGTAAAGCTCCGCCCACTTTAGAGACAAACAACCCCCTCAATCTGACTGGCGGTGAACAAAAGTCCCGACGCCTAAAAGACGTTCTTAAAGACAGAGTACGGTGTCCTGCTTTGGACAAAAAGACCTTCAGGAGTCTGGACTAAAGTCGTCACATATAAATGTAGGAAAAGTTTCGTCAGAGAACTCTGATGGTTCTGTTTCTGTCAGCAGTCTGTCTTCTTGATGGTCCAGATCTTCAGAGACCAATCTGGACTGGACTGAGGTCTAGTCCGGTCCAGTGTGTAAAATCATCCTGTTGGAGCAGATTAAGGTCTGACATGGTTCTTCTGAAGACAGCTTCTGTTTCCTTCTGTCTCCAGTCAACAGAACTCATGTCCTCTGTCTTTCTGTCCATCTCAGATGAGCTGATGTCCACAGGACTTGTCCTCTGCAGAGTTCTGATAGTCTTCCCTCTTGGTGTGAAACGGGTCCAGGTTACAGTTCTGGGCTGATCTTTAAAGTTCTCCTGAGTCCATGTTTGGACGTTTGGTTCCTGAGGCCTGATGGTGGACTTCCTGAGGTGTCAAAGGTCGTCCATCAGTGGACCCTGACCCAACCTTTGGCTCTGTTGACCCCCCCACCTGTCCCCTGATGGTTGCTTTGAGCTTCATGGCGGCCATTTTTAATGTTCTGTCATTCTGAGCTTCGGCGCCGACCCGAGCCCACTTCACTTCCTCTCTTTAAATTTAGGTCCAACTTTCAGACGCTTCATCACTTCTGCTTTTCTGGGTTTTAACGACGACACTTCAGTCTGCAGCTCCAAGCGGTACTGGTTCTGCTCGATCTCATGAACCGGTACCGGTTCTTCTCCAGGATCTCATGAACCAGTACCGGTTCTTCTCCAGGATCTCATGAGCCGGCGCCGGTTGTGCTCTTTGATGCCGCTGAAGTGAAAACTTGATGTTTTGTGACTGGTGGCAGAACCAGAAACCGGGCCGGGCACGTGCGCTCTCTGGACTTCCTGTTTCTTCTTCTGCAGTTTCTTCTCAGTTCGTCTGTGAAACCAGCTGTGGCGGCCATCTTGAGTCCTTTATAACCCAGAGGACTGAGATCAAAAGAAAGGGTGACCATGGTAACCATGCACCTCCCTCTCACTCCCTGAGGGCGCTCAATAAAAACAGTGCCAGCAGGCAGAAAGGCAGAGTCAAAAGTGAGCCTCAGACAAACAGCCTCTGTGTGAAAACTGTAAGTCGGGTCAAAGAACTTCTTGACCCAGGAGCAGCAGGAGGTTCTGATGATGCCACCGGTTCTGTTTGGTGGTTTTGGTGAATTTATTCTCTCTCTCTTTATGTTTCTCCTCCACAGAGCTCGTTCGTCCTGAAGGAGACGCACGTTTGATGCTTCTTCTTCGTTGGTTTCTAAAGCTGCTGTCCTTCCACTGCAGACCTGAAACCAGTTCAGTCGTTTCATGTCAAACAGCCGTTGTAACTTTTTTAATTTAACGAGTCATTTTAGCTGTTTTACCTTTTTTAATTTAAAAAGTCGTTTTAGCTGTTTGAACAGCTGTGGGTCATTTTAGCTGTTTGAACGTCTGTGAGTCATTTTAGCTGTTTGAACGTCTGTGGGTCATTTTAGCTGTTGTGTATTTTGCAGCTGTTTGAACGTCTGTGGGTCATTTTAGCTGTTGTGTATTTTGCAGCTGTCTGAACGTTGTGCGTTTTGTGTCGTCCATGTCTGAATAGTGACCGTCTGTTTCCTGTCGGCAGGATGGGGAACTTAATCAAAGTGTTAACCCGAGACATCGACAACAACGCCGGGAACTTCTTCCTGGACTTTGAAAGTAAGACACACGACACGTTCGGCCTCTATCAGCTAAAATCTCTTTTCTGCCAGACTTTGAAAACTTTGGTGTTTTTATGGATTCAGGGAAAATAAAATGAGAATAAATCGTGTTTTTGCGACGAGCCGACGGAAACTAGAGGCTGTTTGTTGAACCCCGTTTCTGCAGACTGAACGTTTTCAGCTGTTCTTAAATAAAAACATTCAGCTTGTACGGCTGATGGCTGCTGTGAATTTAGTTCATACTTTTCAACATATTTAGCTTCTTTCGCAAACATTTCCCTCATAAACACGAGCAGATTTCTTCACTTCTTTCAGAAACTTTGCTTCAGCTGCTGGCCCTGTTCCTGTCGTCATGCTTCTTTTAGCTTTTAGTTATAGTTTATGAAATTTAGCTGTAAACTACTGTTTTGCAGTTTTTAGCCAGCGTTTGGCTCCTTTTAGCCACTTATTTGTAGCTCTTAGTCAGCGTTTGGCTCCTGTTGTCAGCTTTTAGCTAGCATTTGGCTACTTGCATCTTTAACATCTCCTTCTTCGGCTCCCTCAGGGTCGTTCACCTTTCAGCCTCGACTCTTTCTGTGAGCAGGAATCATCTTTTCTCTGGTTCAAGTTGTTGTTTTGTGGCGGTGCATCTCCGGCTCACCCCTTGAGTTTTGGTCCAAACATGAAGAAATAGCATTTGATGTTTTTAGTTTCACCTTCGGCTCATGTTTTTGTTGGAGTATCGGCTTCAAAAGAACGGCTCGAAGCTACAAACATCCTTAAAGACGCCTCCGGCCTCGCTGATCTCTGTCCCCGTGGTTTCAGATGCTCAGCCGTCGGAGTCGGAGACGGCCGTGTGGGACAAGGTGAACCAGGTTCTGACGGAGGCCCAGGTCATCCTGGAGGACCTGCAGACCTACAGAGGAGCCGGAGAGGAGATCCGACAGGTGAATCTTCAGCTGTTGTGACGAACTGGAGAAGGAGCATTAAATGAGCCGCGCCATGTTTGGGTTGGGTCACGTCAGAGCCGGTTTAATCTGATCAGATGAATTATAATAAAAGTTTAGAAGAAAACACGGGCAGAGGTTCTCCTCTGTTTTATTGTTCTGCTGAAGAAGTTAATGATAATTAATGTTTTATAAATGAGGTGAAACTGAAGTCTTTGAGCTAATCTCAGTGTTTAATCCACATCATCGTAATCTGTCAGAATAATAATCCCTGAATATCCAAAGCCACAAAATATTAAAGAACAACGTTTCAGGCTTTTATTTTGAAATGTGCGGTATTCAGGTGTTTCCTGTGTGTGTTCAGGCCATCCAGAACCCGACTGCGGACCTGGTCCAGGAGAAGGCCTGGTCCGCTGTAGTCCCTCTGGTCTCTAAACTCAAGACCTTCTACGAGTTCTCTCAGAAACTGGGTGAGTGCTGGTCCGGGTTGTGAAGTTCTGCTCCAGTTCTTGTCCTTCCTGTTTCAGATCTGGTCCCTGACAGCTTCAGCAGGACAGTGTTTAAAGAGACATGTCCCTCTGTGTCCCTCAGAGTCCAGCCTGCAGTGTCTCCTGAACGTCCTCACCAGCTCCAGCTCCACTCCGACCCAACACCTGGAGTCCCAGCAGGCGCTGGCCCGCCAGTTCGCCCACATCCTGCACTTCACGCTGCGCTTTGATGAGCTGAAGGTCGGCTCCTCTGTCTGCACTCCTCTTTGGCTCCTCCTCCTCTCTCCATTCCTCTTCGCTCCTCCTTTCCCTATGCTCCTTTTGGCTCTTCCTCTTTCTACGATCTTCTTTGGCTCCTCCTTCTCTCTCTGCGATCCTCATTGGCTCCTCCTCCTCTCTCTACAATCCTCTTTAGCTCCTCCTCCTCTCTCTGTGATCCTCTTTGGCTCCTCCTCTCTCTGCACTTCACTTCCTGTCTTTAATTTGATCTGTTTCTTTCTGCTTCAGATGACCAACCCCGCCATCCAGAACGACTTCAGCTACTACCGCCGAACCATCAGCCGAATGCGGATCAACAACCAGTCGGTAAGAAGCCGACGCTCTGCGAGGGAACCGTTACGTTCAGGGCTTCAGCTCGGATAAATCACAACGCTCACTCCTCACGAAGCGTTGAGCTAACAGCAACGCTTCAGGGCAAATCACGATGCGTTCAAGAACAACGTGTAACTTCAAGAATTCACTCTGAAGCTGAACCCACAGAACTTTCTGTTTCTGAAAATTACATCATGTAATGAAATAAAAATTAAAAAAATTCAAATGTGATATTTAAACTTCAGTTTTAGAGCAACTACAAGTTTCGTATGAATTTTTCAATCCGGTCAATCCGAGCTCTTAAATCAGGACTTGTTGTTCTGGAGCTGTCACTTGGAGTTTGCTCCGCTCTGGTTCTGATCCGGACTGAAACAGTTAGTTGAGTTTCTGAGTGCAGGAAAGAAAACGAATCAGACGAGGAACAAAATAATAACGGTCGTTGCCATGGAGACACTAAAGCTGCCACATTTGAAAATACAGAAAAAAATCACTGATGAAAACGAGTAAAATGTTTGAAATAAAGGAACTCGTTTTCACGTGTTCTTCCTTCAGTCAAGGGCGGGGAATCATGTAACTGTTAGTAAAATATCTCATGAACCACTCTGCACCTGATTCAAGATGGCCGCCACAGCTATCAGCCTCCACCAACACAAAAACGGCTCCGACTCCGTCCACTGACTGAGAGTGGTCCTCAACCTGTCCTCCGAGGGCTGACAGGCCCGAGGAGCCTCTGGACTTTATGTGGCCAAAACATTCAGAATTATGTGCTCGTTGGGTTCTGTCCGGTCCGGGTCATCGGTTCTGTCTAGGTTGTCTGTTCTGTCCGGTCCGGGTCATCGGTTCTGTCCGGTCCGGGTCATCGGTTCTGTCTAGGTTGTCAGTTCTGTCCGGTCCGGGTTATCGGTTCTGTCTAGGTTGTCGGTTCTGTCCGGTCCGGGTCATCGGTTCTGTCTAGGTTGTCGGTTCTGTCCGGTCCGGGTCATCGGTTCTGTCTAGGTTGTCGGTTCTGTCTGGTCCGGGTCATCAGTTCTGTCTAGGTTGTCGGTTCTGTCCGGTCCGGGTCATCGGTTCTGTCTAGGTTGTCGGTTCTGTCCGGTCCGGGTCATCGGTTCTGTCTAGGTCGTCGGTTCTGTCCGGTCCGGGTCATCGGGTCTGTCTAGGTTGTCAGTTCTGTCCGGTCCGGGTCATCGGTTCTGTCTAGGTCGTCGGTTCTGTCCGGTCCGGGTCATCGGTTCTGTCTAGGTTGTCGGTTCTGTCTGGTCCAGGTCATCGGTTCTGTCCAGTCCGGGTCATCAGTTCTGTCTAGGTTGTCGGTTCTGTCCGGTCCGG